CTCACTGTCCTCTCACTTACTGCATTTGTGCTTCAAATAATGAAAATTCAAAGAACTGAAAAAAGTTTCGTGTGAACAAAACAAAAGAAACACAATACGTAAAAAAATCCATTTATGTTCTATCACTCCTTATCATTAATCACTTCATATCACATCAAAACGACATCCTCGAACACAAAATAACACTTACAATAACTTCGCGATAACATGATGCGAGTGACAATAGTGATACTAATAGTAATACAAACAATAATATTGATAACAGAATAACAATCAGCGACGCAATATCACTTCATTGATATTATCATGTACAAATCGAGAATGCGAATTGCTCTTTATGAATCAGTGCACATGCAAAAGCTATACGAACAGCATTCAGAATATCACATATACTTCCCACATATAACAGTAATATTAACGATAAACTAAAACTATTCTCAATTGAATGTTTCAATATGAAATAGATGATCATTATCATTACACAATCTTCGAAACAATGTAAAAGAGCTTCGTTCGCTTGCGTTCAGAATTTTGCATCGATTCTTTACTTCCCATTCCGATTCATTTAACTTATGCAGTCAAATGTTTCCAACAGAATGATTATTTACAACTTTCACCAACAAAAATAAACATTAAAATAAATTCCATAAGATCTTCAACAAAAAAAANAAAAAAAATCACCTGTGTAGTATGATTAGATCAAAATATTGGCCCGAATCGAACAAAAGTTGCAGTTTAAAACAAAAGTCATTGTAAATAATTGATGGGCGATGAAGGAATAATGTCCGAAATATAAATAAATAGCTCAAAATCAGTTCAGATTAACGGAGGGTGAAGAAAGATGACAGAAGAAATGACAAAAATGAAGAACTGAAATCATCTTAAGGATTTCTTCACTTGATCGAATTCTCTCTTCACTGTGATTGAGCTTTCTTCTTGCCTTGTTCAAGACTCTCTTCGATTTTGTTGACAATCTTAAAAATTGCTACTTCAATTTTCTCTGAACTTGTATTTAAGAATATATTCTCTTGTTCGAAAACTTTACTAAACTCACAGCAGAACGAATTGAAGATGATGAAACCGAAGCAAAACAAACCTGCATAGCACAGTCGGTGATACGTGTACCCGGACCGAACACGGCACATACACCAGCCTTGTAGAGTGCATCGTAGTCCTGTGGTGGAATCACACCTCCGGCAAATACAAGAATATCACTGAAATGGGCGTTCATCAACCGTGCTTTCGCTTCATTATGATTGTTCATTGAACTGTATCGTAATTCATCGATATCGCTCACAATCGTTTGATATCATCACCCTTACGCAACAGCTATGTAAACTNATTTCATTTTCTTAACTTATTGACTGCGCGAGCAGATGTCTTATCCAAAGCATGACATTGAGAGTATTAATAAAAATTAAGAATTATTGACGGTAACGGTGGCAACGAATCGTTGTGGAATAATCATTTAATGAAAATGAATGGAAATCAATGGTCAGAAAAATTGTAATAACATCAAACGAGGTCAGCGAAGATGCTGAGAAAAACCTACGGTCTTCCGAGCTTGGCCAGCTCCTGAATAAGTGCCGGTACGAGCGTAAGATGTCCGGCAGCCAAACTGCTTGCACCAACAGCGTGAACATCAGCATCGACGGCCTGTTGAGCTGCTTCTTGTGGAGTTTGGAACAGTGGTCCCACGTCAACGTCGAAGCCTTTAACAATTTCAATATTAATGAATATAACAATGATAACAATAAACTCTTCAATTCGTGATGAATGCGACAATAAATGAAGATTATTAGCCATATTAGATATGAGAAAAATAATAACGCTGACATATAAAAGCAAATAAAAAACGGTATCGCTGAAGACAACATCAATAGTGAAATTAAACGAGAATGAGTTTGAAAGAATTGTTGTCCTGAGATGGAAACAATCCGTACCAAGATCTGCAAAACCAGTTGACACAACTTTTGCGCCACGATCATGACCGTCTTGTCCCATCTTAGCGACCATAATACGTGGCTGACGACCTTCCTTGTCGGCGAATTGCTTCACCTATTAACAATTTCACATATTGTCTCATTGCTCTCACAGTTTCATTCACCCGTTTCAAAACTGTATTAATGACGTTTTCATTCGTTCATAACTCGCAAAAAGCACATCGATAATTAATGATCAAAGAAATCGCTACTAACTCGGTCAACGACTTTGTTGAATTCGTCTTGTTTAGCGTATGCTGACTTGTAAGCGCCGCTAACCATACGAATTGTGGCTGCATATCTGCAAATATCATTCAAAATATAGATGACAATTGCTATATCAATAATACAATACCAAAAAAAGAACCCAACAATAGCATTACGGGTGATATCAATAATAATTTTTTGACATGTATCTTTGAAGAATTCATAGAATA